TAACGAAATCATTGCTACTATTTCCAGCAGTGGTTGTTACACGAAGCCAAGCGGATGATGTTACAACTCATGAGGTACCGTATGCCTACTGCAAAACTAAGCTATAGATGCCACATCCACACACGTATAGCTAGCTGGCATCCTTTGGTTAAATGGACAAAGTCTGTGACTCTGATAGGAGCTTAATCTGTTAACTAATCTTGTATAAAGATGAACTGTACTATTATTTTTCAATCACTATCTTTTATCTTCGTGATAAATTAAAGCCATCTTTTATACTTTTAAATTATAAATTACAGTAAAATAGACTTGCATCTTCTGAGCTGGGTTGTAAACAAACGATTTCGATTCGTATTATTATTTTTGTTTCATATGTGTACTAAATATAAGTAATGTTAAAAATACTTTATCAACAGACACTACAATTTCAAGACGAATTCATGAAGAAATATTCAGCAATAAGTAAGAAAGGAATTGATTATACACGAAAAATGTGTAAGAAATACCGAAGTGTCGTTTCAACGATGGAGTCATTTCCGAATGTTCTTGTGAATGAGAAATACAAACTTGTTTACTGTCAAACAGCTAAAGCCGGTACTGTTAGCTGGTGTAAAATGCTTTTGATTCTTTCGGGATATAAAAACTATTCTGAAGTTGTGAAAATGAGTGCTCCGCAAGTTAGTAATGCGTGGAAAAAGCAGGTATCGCAACTTAAAAGGTTTTCCACTCAAAAGCAGACGGAAATAATATCAACCTACACCAAAATCATGATTGTACGGAATCCGTACACAAGACTACTGTCCGCCTACAATGACAAGTTAGTTGCTAAGAATGCATCTGATTATAGAATAGGGCATCAGAGGATGCTCAGCCAGAAAATTTTAAAGAGATTTAGACAAGGAAACATCACCGGAAAATACGATCCTACTTTTGGTGAATTTGTTAAAATGATAATATCTGAGGAGTATTATATTCACAACGTTCATTGGCGGTCCATGGAATCAAGGTGTCATCCTTGCGACATGAACTATGACGTCATCGGTCGATTTGAGGATATTGAGAATTATTCGAACTATATATTAAAACGTATTGGAGCTGGCATTGAGTTCCCTCATTCGTCGGGAACTCATTTTACAAACAGCTCAAGTCATGACAAGGTTAAACAATCCTATGCTACTATTCCAGATGAAGATCTAGAAGATTTATATCAAAAATATCTATATGACTTTCAATTGTTTGGTTATGAAAAGGAACTACCTAAGGCATAAATGATATACATATACACGGACATCAATTTTATTTGTTTTCCATGTAAACATACATACCCACATACATATGTCCACATATATATCGACATACATGCGTGCACACACATACATGCTATCCGAGCACGTAAGTAAATGAGATTTGCGTTTTCACGAACAGACATAAACCATCACCGTGTATGTAAACAACCACATGTATACGCAAAATGTTCACACTAATTACCAGATTAATTAATATTAATAAAATTCTCTATATTTTTCTCAAGAACATTTTTGGTAGAAATTGAGGAATGCATCTCTTCGTAGTATTGGTGTGAGTGACTTATACTTTACTTTACTTGGTTAATAGGATTTGGAACTAAAAAGATAGAGACCGTTGTCTCGGACGTTTACTTTTTCTTATTTTGAGAAATTTATGTTGAAAGTAGGGCCTATTTACGGTAATTTCTCATTACAATACATGAAATGGTGCATACCAAGTGTCGAGCTCTGGTCTCTATTTGCGTATAGTGAATATCTATCATTGATAAAAAGTATACTAAAAACTAATAAGAATAACTGTAAACTACGAACTGTAAATTATTAATAAGCTGACCCTATTTATGTGGAGCACATTTTGCAGGTAAGAAGCCAACATCACTCTGGATGGAAAGTACCACTGACTTTAGCTGCCGACCAATATTCCCTGGCAGGGCCACTCCATCTCCTCATGGAGAATCTACACCGTTTTGCGAGACCTTCTGTCTAGTCTATGCAGACGCCTTAACCAATGAACCAATGGGGCTTTGTTGAGAATCCAAATTTTTAGAAGCAACTTGTATTCAAATTGTTTTGTTACGTGGCCAAAATAACATAAATGAAACCTAAAAATACCTACAATCTGAATAACTGTACCGATTGCATTTTTTAATTTTTTAGTATAGCGGGCCTTCGCATCGCGTGGCTTCGTCAACGTCATGCATAATTTCAGCTATAGTTCGTCTTTCAGTTATAGTTCGTCCTCGACACAAGTTCGTCCTCGAGCCCTGTCTGAAATCACACAGTATAGCAAAAAAACAGCAGCTCTATGGTACAACCAATGTAAGAAAAAAAATAAGTTGTCCCAAAATTTGAATCCCTGGAACATTATGGGGTCTACACAGAGTGAAATAATACATAGGCCGAGTTAGTCTTATTTTAGCGGTAGGGATTAGGCCGTAAACACAGAAAGAAATGAAAACAATTCAATGGCTTATGCTACTAGTACTACAATACTGTGCTTAGTCTGTGGATTTTCCAACCAAATCCCATGAACAAATTATCTTACTGGAAGTGAAAATGGACCTAATAAATTAAAAGTACGACTTCTATTACAACATAACTCTTAAGTTAAGAGTTATTACTTTTTTAGTGTTTCACAAAATTGCCGGCTATATATTACACAAGAGAAGGGGAACTGAATGTTAAATATTTAATTAAATTAAACATATTAACTTTCCAATGTCTGTATTGCAATTTGTATTGTATAAAATGAATGTATTAAATAACAGTATACCTATAGGTCTATTAATGCAGATATACAGCGGGACAATCTTTAATTAAGGGGAACATTTGTCTGCTCTTGAAGGTGTCCCTTTAAGGCTTTTACTGTATTTTTCATTGGGGGGGGGATGATTTGCGTGTTAGCCAGTGTCGTAACAGGCGCCGAGGAGGCGGGGCGGAGGGCAGGGCAGGGGAAAAACTGCCCCTCCCCTGACGGTTTTTACCGGGCTGACCAAGCCGTAGTACCGGGCTGGGTAATAAGAGAAAAGGAAGAGGTGAGAGGGAGGGAAAGAGAAAGAAGAGGAAAAGAAAAGGAAAAAAAAAGAGAACAGAAGAGAAAAATAAAGACAAGAATAAAAAGGAAGATATCATAATGACCAGACTCACAACACCCTGCAACCCCTTCTTCACTTCAAAAACTGTCATAACTCCTTTGATCTATGCTGCCCGATGGCGTAACCACTGGGGGACAAGGGGAAAATATCTATCTTTGAAAAATCTTCCCCACCCCTTTATAAATGCCCTTTTCATCCCATGAAAGTGCCTAAAAACCTCAAAATTTAGGAAGTTTATCAATTCCGACGAAATTAGAATTAAAAACACAAAAATATTTTGCGCGCTTCGCGCGCATTTTTTAGGGGTTTTTTAGGTTTATCCTTTTAAGTTATTTAAACACATAATAGTCCCAAACTCAAGAAAGACAAATTTAAGATAGATCGTTTTAACCTAAAAGAAGGGCCTCAATGTGTATTGATGGTGAAAAAATATATTTGTAATAAATTAAACCATGATCTTCATCAACCGATATAACCTTAAACATTCTTGGAATTGACATAACATTACTGATGTCGTACACACC